CATTATGGTCTGAAAACATACTTTGTATGATTTCAGTTCTTTTTTTGAGACTTGTTTGTGGCTTACCATATGGTCTATCATGGAGAATGTTCCATATGCACTTGAGAAAAATTTTTATTCTGCTGCTGTTGGGTGTAATGTTCTATAAATGTCTGTTAGGTCTAGTCGGTTTATTGAGTTGTTCAATCTTCTAGTTCATAATCTTCTGTCTAGTTATTCTATCTATTATCAAAGTGGCATATTAATGTGTCTAACTATTATTGTTGAGTTATCTATTTCTTCCTTTGGTTTTGTCAGATTTTGCTTCATGTACTTTGGAGTCTATTGTGAAGTGCATATATATTAATATTTATAATTTTATCTTCTTGATGGATTATCCTTTTATCATTATAAACTGTCTTTTTTCATCTTTAGTAAAAATTTTGTCTTAAGGTCTATTTTGTCTAAGATTTGTATAGCCAATCCAGCTCTCTTGTGTTACTATTTGCATGAAGTATCTTTTTACATACTTTTAATCTATTTACGTCTTTAATTCTAAAGTGTGTCTCTTATAGGAAGCATGTAGTTAGATCATTCTTTAATTCATTCTGCCAATCTCTGCCTTTTGGTTGGAGTGTTTAATGCATTTACATTTAATGCAATTATTTTTAGTTAGGATTTTTCCCTGCCATTTTGCTATTTTTTTCTATACATTTTATGTCATTTTTGTTCCCTTATTCCTCCATTACTGTTAGGTTGGTGCAAAAGTAATTGTGGTTTTAGCATTGTTATTATTTGCTGTTTGATATTGGAATACATTCTTAAATAAATGTAGTTATGTTATACATCATTTTAATGTACATTTCTCACTTTATGTTTTTTTGCTAATGATTTATTACTTGCTGTTTATTTGACATTATTTTACAGTATGGAAATGATGTTAGACAAAAAGAAAATTCAAGCGATTGATTTTCTTATTTGAGTTCAGAATGGGTCATAAAGCAGCGGAAACAACTTGCAACATCAACAACGCATTTGGCCCAGGAACTGCTAACGAACAGACAGTGCAGTGGTGGTTCAAGAAGTTTTGCAAAGGAGACAAGAGCCTTGAAGATGAGGAGTGCAGTGGCTGGCTGTCGGAAGTTGAGAGCAATCATCGAATCTGATCCTCTTACAACTACACGAGAAGTTGCTGAAGAATCAACGTGGACCATTCTACAGTTGTTTGGCATTTGAAGTAAATCAATCAGAAAGGTGAAAAAACTCAGTAAGTGGATGCCTCATGAGCTAATGGAAAATCAAAAAAACCGTCGTTTTGATGTGTGGTCTTCTCATAAGCAACAACAGCAAACTATTTCTTGCTTGGATTGTGATGTGTGCCAAAAAGTGGTTGTTTATGACGACCAGTGACGACCAGCTCAGTGGCTGGACCAAGAAGCTCCAAAGCATTTCCCAAGGCCAAACTTGCACCAAAGAATGGTCATGGTCACTGTTTGGTGGTCTGTTGCCAGTCTGATCCACTACAGCTTTCTGAATCCTGGCAAAACCATTACATCTGAGAAGTCCACTCAGCAAATCAATGAGATGCACCAAAAACTGCAAGGCCTGCAGCTGGCGTTGGTCAACAGAAAGGGCCCAATTCTTCTCCACGCGCGACCTCGTGTTGCACAACCAATGCTTCAAAAGTTGAACAAATTGGGCTACAAAATTTTGTCTCATCTGCCACATTCACCTGACCTCTTGCCAACCGGATACCACTTCTTTAAGCATTTCAACAACTTTTTGCAGCGAAAATGCTTCCACAATCAGCATGATGCCCAAAATGCTTTCCACGAGTTCGCTTGAATCCTGAAGCACGTATTTTTACACCACAGGAATAACAAAGTTATTTCTCATTGGCAAAAATGTGTTGGCTGTAATTATTCCAATTTTGATTAATAAAGATGTGTTTGAGTCTAGTTATAATAATTTAAAATTCACAGTCTGAAACCGCAATTACTTTTGCACCAACCTTTAAGGGAAGGTCATCCTCTTCCACCGAGCTGGAGCTTGTAGCTTTGGAAGGAAGCATATGGAGTGGTGAGAGAAGAAGGGGACACCCACCTAGCCATCCAGATCAGCTGAATCAACCCTGGCAATCAATGGGATGACAGATGCTGCAGCCCTATCATCCTCACATCCATTTTTGCACCAACCTAAGACCTCCTTTGATATTAAATAAATATTTTTCAAGTGTACCATTTAATTCCTTGTTGTTTATTTTACTATTTTTAAAAGTAATTTTCTTAGTAGTTGCCCTGAGGTTTACAATTTTCCTCTTAATTTACAACAATTTAGTTAAGATTGGCACCAACTTAATTTCAATAGTACACAAAAGCTTTGCTCCTATGTGGCTTCATCCCTCCATTCTCCTTTGTGCTGCTATCACCATGCAAATTACATCTTTATACATTACATGCCTTTCAACACAGATTTGTAATTATTGCTTTATTGAGTCGCCTTTTAAATTAGAGGGGTGAAATAAAAGAGCTATAGGCAAAAACTACATTTATACTATCTTATGTATTTCTCTATGTTGTTAACTTTACCATTATTCTCTGTTTCTTCAAGTTGATATGAATTACTATTTAGTGCCCTTTCATTTCAGCCTAAAGTACTTTTAATATTTCTTATAGGGCAGGTTTTTTAGCACTGAATTTCCTTCATTTTTATTTATTTGAAAATATCTTAACTTCTATTTCATTTTTGAAGGATAGTTTTATTGAATATAGAGCCCTTGGTAGACAGCCTTTCCCTCAGCACATGGACTATGTCATTCCATGCCTCTGGCTTCCATTGCTTCTGGTAAGAAATCAACTGTTAATATTATTGAGGAGACCGTGTACATGATGAGTAGCTTCTCTCTTGCTGCATTAAAGACTTTAAAACTAAAGAGTTTTAAACGGTTTGATTATGATGTGTGAATCTCTTTGAGTTTATCTCAAATTGAGGTTTTTTGAGCTCGTTAGATGAACAGAGCAATTTTTTAAAATCAAATTTGGGAAGTTTTCAGTCATTTTTTCTTCAAATGTTTTTTTCTTTTTTTTTCCCCTGCCCTTTTCAGTCTTTCCTCTCCGCAGGACACTATATTTTGTATATGTTGGTATGTTTAATGGTGTTGCATAGGTCCCTGGGGTTCTTTTCAATTTTCTTAATTCTTTATTTTTTTCTGTTCCTCAGACTGAATAAGCTCAATTGATGTATCATTCTTTCTTCTGCCTGCTCAAACCTGCCGTTAAGCACCTCAAATGAATTTTTTATTTCCATTATTAGAGTTTTCAACTCCATAATTTCTATTTGATTTATTATTATTTCTGTATCTGTATTGATATTCCCTATTTGGTGAGGCACCATTCTCCTGTCTAGTTTTTATGCATGGCTTCCTTTAATTCTTTGAACATATTTAAAGTGATTAATTTAGAGCCTTTGTTTAGTTAGTCTAAAGTCTGAGTTTCTCAGGGTCAGTTTCTATTAATTGCTTATTTCCTGAGTATGAGCCATACTTTCTTATTTCTTTGCATGTCTCATAATTTTTTGTTGACTGGAAATTTTAAATAATGTAATGTGATGTGGCAACTTGGGAAGTCAGATTTCTCCCTTCCTCAGGATTTGTTGCTGCTCCTGTTTGTTTTGGATGTTTGTTTTAGTGGTTTTCTAAACTAATTCTGTAAAGCCTGTATTCTTGGCCATATGTGTCCACTGATGGCTCTGCGTGGTTTGCTTATTGGTCAGCTAACGATTAGAGAGATATTTCCTTAAATGCCTGGAACTAAGAAGTCTCCTGGTCTTTTCTGAGGGGTTCTGTGTGTGTGCTTGGGGCATTTCTTCAACACTCAGCCAGGCAGTTGCCAACTCTACCCTAGCCTTCACTTTCTGCTTGGGCAGAGCTTCAAGGCCAGCGAGAAGTGAGAGTGTAGGGCCTTCTCACATCTTTACAAACAGGCACACAACGCTGGGCATGAACACAGCCCTCCATATGCCTGTGTCCTTCTAGATTCCCAGAAATATGTCAGAGCTTATTAAAGTTCCTATGGACATCTCATTTCCCAGCTTTTCCTTTTAAGCTTTTTGATTAACCCAAATGTTTTTGATTTGACCCAAATGTTATCCACTACCTCAGTGAGCCACAATGTTAAACACTTGCCTCTAGTTGTTTTTGACAAATGGCTCCTGGGGAAGAGACATTTTGCCCTGGGCAAGCTCCAGATCAGGTCAGGTCAAGTAAAGACAGCCTTGGGAGTTGGGTCTTCCAAGGAACCACCAGACATGTCAAATCATGACAGTTCTCTGGGACTGGGGCTTCGGCAGAGCATTCGTGCTGCTCTGCGCCTTCTGTGGCCACCAGGCTGCTGGTTTTCACTGTGACTGTGGGCTGTTGGTCTTCAAAGCTATCAGAGATGAAAATTGGACAATTTAAAATGCCACAGAGATACTACACTATATTGTTTGTTTGTTTTTTAAATAAAGTCTCCCTGAGTTGTAAGCTTTTGGTTAATTTTGAATTCTGAAAAAGTTGATTCTGACAAAAGTGTTTTTTTGGGTTTTTCTGGGGAAGTTTTCTTGTTACTTTTATGGAAGAGAGAATTTTCAGATGTCCTTACTCTGCCATTTCCCCTGATGTCACTACATCTCCATTTTTTAGTTGATTTTGTTTTGAGTAAATTTCATGACACTGAAATGTTTGCCCATGCCTTGAGGATCTGGCTATCCTTAGACATAATTTCTTTCTGAATTAAAATGTACTTTAAAAAAAGAACCTCTTTCAAACATGACTGCAGTTTTCTAATATGTGGAACTCTGAATAAGGCATGGATGTTTGCCCAAATGACCAACCTGTTTTTCATATATGCGTAAGATCTGGATGGTTGCAGGGGTACCGACTAAACTCTTTTTTCTTGGTAGCAGGTACTAACATTAGATTTGTTGGGTTTGACTGCAAGCTCAACTTATGGCTAAAACATTTGAAAATTCTCTTTTAACAGAATGCAGAGCCTGGATGAGCCATGGACGGAAGAGGAGGGGGATGGTTCAGACCACCCCTACTACAACAGCATTCCAAGTAAGATGCCTCCTCCAGGGGGGTTTCTTGATGCTCGACTGAAAACGAAACCCCATGCTCCTGACACAGCCCAGGTAAGTCTTATACTTTTTTCCTTAGATGTTAGCTAACTTATTTCCTTTTATTTTCTTCAATTTTATTTCAGGACAATGTTCTGTTCAGTTTTTGATGCAGTAACTCATAAATTCTCACAAAGCATCACAGTGCGTTAGCCAAATGCCTTGTGATCCCTGAGATATGAGTCTGGGTGTGTCCCTGCCTCCCTCACGAATCCTGTCATACTTTGATCTTAGTGAGGAGAAGAGAGAATTCAAGACTTTAAAAAGGCCTGGAGTGCTTTGGGTTCTCTGAAAAGAAAGTAGATATAGGCCCCTAAAATGATGAGAATTTTATGAGTTTTTCTATTTTATTTGTTCTCCTAATTTTCCTTCCAACTCAAAATTCTAGTAAGGCAATTGCTTTCTAGAGTTATGATATCCATATTTTGTTATAGGAAATTTTTAACATCACCTATCTGATATGAATGATGCTGATACCAATAAAAATGGCAAAATAACATTGAGCTCGAACATCTGACACTGAGAGGGAGTTTCCTGGTTTCAGAGGAAATTTCCTGGTTCACAGAGTGGACGCGCCTGAGTGTGAATGATTATAGACGTATGTGCTAAGTGGGAATTATGTTCTGACACATAGATACTCTCTAACTAAAATTTATTTTAAGGCATGCATATGGAAGAGCTTGATTTACTGTCACACTCGTGGAGGGGTCGGGGGGGGGAGAATGAAAACAAGAGGGGGCCATGTGTAGTTTTGATGGAGATGCAGCCTTTCCTCACACCCACACAAACTTATTTCCCAAATCTTAATGCCAGCCATGAGGCACGAGGGAACACCGGGGGTAACAAAGAATGCAGTCGCCCTTCGGGTCCTGCCTACTGTCCCGTGTCTTCCAGAGATGGATGAATGAGAAGAGTATAATTCTTTCTTTTTGTGTATTTGCATGTGTCTATAGTTTACAGGAAAAGAGCAAACTTATTACCAGGGAAGACACTTAGGAGACATGTTTGGCGAAGATTGGCAGCAAACACCTGTCAGGCAAGGTGAGAGGCAAGATGTGGCAGGTGAGGAAACAAAAAGCACTTTTAAAAAGTAACAGGCTTGCCAGTGGGTCATCCATTTCCTGTGGAGTGGCAGAGTGACCCCCTGAAAGTATTTGCTGTGGGTGGTGCTGTAGATTCCTGACTGGATCACGGAAATAGCAATAACGTTGTCACTGACATCTACAGGCACCAATCAGATAGTGCCACCAATCAGATAGCGCCAGGACAAGCTCATACCCCGTCTGCACCTACTGTCTCATGCACCCTGGGGACTGTCACCTCCAGGCTTCCCTGGCGGGAGAGCTCTCTTGCTCAGTGGTGCTGAGGAATGGATATCCCAGGTGTACCGTCACCAGTTTCAGATGGCAGCTGGTGGGGCGACTCGGAAGTGTATCTCCAAGTGCCCCAGCAAGGTTGAGCCCCAGTGGCTCCTGCAGCAACTTGCTGCCTTTCCTTCCTTGTCACACTCCCCTTCCCACCCCCCCCGACTGAGGGGCAGCTTCCTGAGGAGTGTGAAGACACCTACCCTAGGATGGGATCGATGGCACAGACCACGCCAGCGATATAAGTCTCTTGTAGGTCCTGGGTACTTTTGAAGGACATTTCTACTTCTTACCAAACATAATAACATGTACCTACGTCACACATTAAAAATAATTTAGATATAACTATCTAGTTAGATATAACTATTTATAATGTAGATATCTAAAAATAAACAACTTAGATCTATTGAGATGTAACTATTAATATAATAATTTGGGTATAACTAAGTATGCACTGCTAACTGCTCACGAGTCCGTATTCTCTAGACAGTTAATTCTATACATACATATATGTATAAACGTATCCATATCTCTCCGTATCTACATGTCTAGCTATTTTTTAAAGATTTCTTTTAATTTTAAAATTTTCCCCTTAAAAATTTTCACCACTCTGTCAATAGCTCTGGGGTCTCGGCTACCAAGTCCATAGAGTCTGAAGGAGATGGATTCAACTGATGCTTCTATGTATATAAATTAAATTTAATTTAATTTATTTATTGGTTTAACATTAAGGCTTATTCCTTTGTTATAGCCATTTGTCTCAGGGAGCAAGTGATGATAAACTTTAAAAATCTCCCCCATGTGAAAGAATTTCATGTGTTGCCTGTCGCAGATGAAAGAAGACCCACATTGCTGGCCTGGCCCATAAAACACAAGGTCTGGCAGAAGCCACCACATGGCTCTGCCTCAGAATAGGACGGGGACAGCAAGTCCAAGCCATGACTCTGCCAGTGGCGCCTTGTCACCGTGGGCTATTCATCTTTGTTCTGTACACATTTAAGATGTGTTTGTGCAGCATGTGTGTGCGTAGGCATATAATAACTGCTAAAGACTAATGGAGATGCATTACCTCCATTAGATGTTTACTTTATTATAAAATATGTCAGATTTATTTATTTATTTATTTTTTGAGACAGAGTCTCACTGTGTTGCCCGAGCTAGAGTGAGTGCCGTGGCGTCATCCTAGCTCACAGCAACCTCAAACTCCTGGGCTCAAGCGATCCTCCTGCCTCAGCCTCCCAAGTAGCTGGGACTATAGGCATGCGCCACCATGCCCGGCTAATTTTTTTCTATATATTTTTAGTTGTCCAATTAATTTCTTTCTATTTTTAGTAGAGACGGGGTCTCGCTCTTGCTCAGGCTGGTTTCGAACTCCTGAGCTCAAACAATCCGCCCGCCTCGGCCTCCCAGAGAGCTAGGATTACAGGCGTGAGCCACCGCACCCAGCCCAGATTTATTTTTAAATAGATTTTTTTGGCATGTTCCAGTTATTCCGTACAGACGGAGAGCAGATGACATAGAAGACTCACCAGGGCAAAAATCAGCCTCGCACAGGGTCCTGGCCTCGGCCTGAGACTCAGGACTCTCAGGAAATTTCAAACTCTTAGGTGGAAACAGCGAATATATTTTCCCATAGAACCAACAAGAGTGTCACTTATTAATTTGCTGATAGCTGTTCCCCCTAAATGCACATGAACTGTAGGTGCCCCCATGGTGTCGTCGACAGTTGGAAAGGGCTATCAGAAAGGGTATTCATTGGGCTTTTGATCTTCTCCTTTTTAAAGTTTGTTTGTGAGATTCTTTTCTAAAGCCTGCTTTGTTTGCAATGTATACAAACATGCAAACTGCGAATAGGGCCTGCAATTCGGGTATGGCCTCTTAAACATCGAAATCACGAAATCACGTTCATGAGCTTGCAGGTGGTGCTCCCCAGGGGAGGAATGTCAGCGTGACACTTCGTTCTCACGCGTACAGGCTGGGGGACAGTGGCGTGCTGGCAAATGTCCAGCAATGGGCTTTTGGGAAAGCTTTTTAAAAAGCCCGGAACCGACTCTTGCCAGCTGGATCGAGCTGGCTTTCACACACCACCGCCCATGGGGTATGGAAGACACCCTCTTTCCAGAACTGTGAACGCCGCAGGGCGTTCTTGCGAATGTGTTTATGTGAGTGGATCGGAGACAGAGCACACACAGAAAGACTCCGAGAGGGATGCAGGCAGGTGTTCTTGGGTAACACCTTTCATGCCACCTCCAGGTGACAGAACAGCCCTAGGCCCAGCCTCAGCACACCCACTGGCCAGCTGGGAAGTGCCACCAAGGCAGCATCATGTGTCCTCCGTAGACCCAGGTCAGCAGCTGTGGCTCTGTTTCGTAAGGGGGAGTCTCAGTCCCTTAGAAGGTGTCTCTCTAACCACAGAGACTGGACCGTATTGCTCAAACGGATGAATTTCTAAAGCACTCCCTTACACTTAAAAAAATATGAGAAATTAAAATCAGGCTGTGGTTCTGCTCAGTTATTTGATTTTGGAGTGTTTGTAAGGCAGAGGAGGAGAGCCTGGGGCACTGCTGCCTGCTCAGCTCCCGTGATCCTGGGCAGCGGGGCCCAGGATCTTTGGTAAGGCCGTCACGGTGGCACCAGTACGCTGTCCACCCTGAGGCTGCCTGGCACATCCCATGTTGACATGAGAGGCTGGACAGCATCCCAGCCAGGTCACAGTGGTGACAGGCTCGGAAGAGGAGAATTTAAGCGAGATGAGTTTTCTTGTCGGTAGGCTGAAGGAACTTAAGAAGTGTGGGGTGGATTCACTGAAGAGGCATGAATAATGTCACCATAATAATAAAAAAAAAAAGGCCCATTTTCTTGTTGCAGGGTCCCTGGACATCTACAGCATGCCAGAAGGGAAACCGCACGTGGCCCCCACGGGACAGGGACCCACCTACGTCAACACCCAGCAGATGCCGTCACAGGCCTGGCCGGCAGTGGTCAGCAGTGCCGAGAGCAGCCCGCGAAAAGACCTCTTTGACATGAGTGGGTTCCGTTGGTCTCTGCTTTCCATCTATTTTGAGATTGCCTTTTATTTGAAGTCTGGGCAATTACCAAATTTTCTGCTAGCAGGATCTTGATTAATAGCGATGATTAACTGCACTTTTCTGGGTGATGACTGGGCTTGTTTCAGGCTTTGGGATTACAGCCTTCTCTGCAGTAGAGTGGCAAAACAATTTCCCCCTCTTTTGGGAATTGACTTTCCTCCCAAAGATCTGCAAATATATTGAGACAAAAAAATACATAAATAGATGTATTTGTTTGTTTATTCGTTAAAATATTAATTGGCTGTTGCGTGCCAACTACTGTATTGGTTGCTAGGAGGCAGAAATGAAATGGTATGGCCTGTGTTTTCACAGAGCTCTTAGTCTGTTAATCAGACCAACATATAAGCAAGAAATGGCAATACTTCTCTCTAGTGAGAGTTCTCTCTCCCCCCGCCCCTCTCCAGATATTTATCGAGCACTTAGCTGTTTGTCAAATACTACTCTACTTGCTGGAGATACATAGGAAAACAGAGCAGACTAAGTCTCTACTCTCATGAAACTTCAGTAAACAACTAACTGTGCTTTACTAGGTAGTGATAGGTGCTCCTGAGTGATGGAAAATAAACAGATTAAGGAGAGTGATGGGAATATTGTAGATAGTGATACAGTGGATTGTACCACGGCTTTCTGTTTTCATGTAGACTGGGAAAAGTAAACCATGCACAAACTGATTAATGAAAGTAGAAACTGTAAATTCTTTAACAACAATTTAAAGAATTTTGAAAGAGATTCCCAAGCTCACAAAGAGCTTTATATGCTAAAATTTCCTTTTCAAATTCCTTGAGAATTTTATAGGCTAAAGAGGGAGGGAAGGGAGACTCGCACGGAGTGAGTTTCTACCATGCGCCAGGCACCTACTCTTGTTTTTGATTTCTGCAATGACCCTGCAGTTAGATATTATGATTACTGTTATTATTCATGTCGTACAAAGGAGGAAATGGAGACCTTAGAGGCTAAGTAACTTTACCGCTTGTGAAAGGCAGCCTTGCTGGTCCAATACCTTCTATTTGTGGTATTCTGTGTGAGAGAGGACAGGGTTAAGTGCTTTTATGATCAGGAAGCATCATGCCACGGACACTCTGTTCCTCCTCAGCCGCTTTGGCTTCTCAGACACACAGGACTCCCAATTTTCACTTATGAATGTCACCTGAGCCAGACTGTAGCATCCCAGTGCTTTGAGGCAGCCTAATCCATTCCCACCAGTCCCTTCATTTAGATAAATGTGGAAACTCGAGAAGTGTGAAGCTACTTCCCAAGATGCATAGCCAGGTGGTGCTCTCCCGCCTGTGCTCCAGTCGTTACAGCATCCCCCACCTGCAGTTTAGCAGCGGTATTGATGGTCAGACCATTTTTACTGTTTAATTTAGTCAGTTTACCAATGACTTCTGGCCCCAGAGCCTGAGGAGAGTTAGATTGGGCTGAGGTTTGAGATGGGAAAAATCAGAACCAGAACCACCTTTCCCTATCGATTAATTTCTACTCCTGCTCCCAAAACCAGAGAAGGGGAGACAGAAAGTAGAAGGGGCCTTGGACTGGGTGGTATCTATTGAAAAGTATGAAAATAAATAAAGCCAGCATTCCATGTTCTTTACCTTAAGCCACAAGAGCTAAATAATGATTGCTGATAGTGACGATGGTGATTGGTGGTGATAATATGATGGTAGTGATGATAGTAGTGGTGATGGTGATATGATGATGGTTATGGTAGTGGCGATGCTGTGATGGTGTTCATGGTGATGATGATGGTGGTGTTGATGATGATGGTGATGGTAGTGGTGGTAGTAATGATGATGAAGGTGGTGTTGATGGTGATTGTGGTGATGGTGATGATTATGGTGGCGTTGATGGTGATGGTGGTGGTAATGATGATGATGGTGGTGGTAATGATTCTGGTGATGATGGTGGTGGTGATGATGGTGGTGATGATGGTGGTGATGATGGTGGTGTTGATGATGGTGAAGGTGATGGTGGTGGTGATGATGATGCTGGTGATTATGGTGCTGATTATGATGGTGATGATGATGGTGGTGGTGATGGTAGTGCCAATAAAATGAACGTGGGGATAATGAGAATGATGCTGATGATGTTGATGATAGCGAAGGTGGTGATAGTGCAGAAAGAGAATAATACAAATTTTCAGCTACTCCAGGTTATCAGGAAAAAAGCAGGTAAAAAGAGAAAATCCACAAACATAATTTTTGCCAAAACTTTTAGTCTCTTTTTATCTCCACATCTGTCAAAGATTAACAAGTGTCAAAAAGACCAAACTCTGGTTTTATTTATTCACCTGGCTTTTGTCCATCCTCTACTAACATTTAACAAAGTGGGCTTAATTTACAGTATTTGTTGACTACTTAGAGAGTATGAACTGAGTCCACTGAGCAATGTGTGGCTCTGGGGATGCAGTTGTGCTCAGGCAAGTACTGTTCTTGTTCTTGTGCTGCTTGCATTTTACTGGGTAGACAGTGTAGTCTGAAATAATCATCACGATACCTTGCACTTGTATAGCACTGTGTGAGTTTTTCAGAGTACTTTTGTACATACTACCTTATTTGAAAATCGAACATTGAGATTTAATTAGACGTGCCTGGCTAGTTCTTTTGCTGCTAATGTTTGTTGCTGTTAAAGCAGCAATCTCATCATTCACACACGCCCTGCACTGAGAAGTGCGCTCCGAAGGTGATGAAGCCAAGCACGGGCTCAGGCACTCACACAAGAGCCTCTTTACACAGGGAAACAAGTGAAGGTCAAAGAGAGGTAGAGCTCCTAGCCTGGAGCATGTCACACAGGAAGCACCCAATAAATGTCAGTTTTCTTCTCTTTTTAAAAATTTGCCTGATGCAAAGACTTTGAAATAAACCTTTGGTGGGTTGGGCTTAGGTTTTGCTTGAAATCAAAGCTTTGTGGGTTATATTTTCCTTTGGTATTGGCAGGATTTTATTTAGAGTTTGTTAAAGAGGCTGGCTGATGTTCCAGAGAAAGTAGGTGGTGTGTAATATGCATGGCCTCTTGCAGCATGTAAAAATGAAGCCATTCTAGCTAGCTAGACAAAGGGCGTGCTTGAATCCTTGGCACAAGGCACAACTCCCAGCTGTCTCGGGAAGGCAGACTCATCAGAAAGTCATGCCAAAATTTGGGCTGTGCTTTTAATTGCTTGTTATGATGATTCTTATTATGTTACCAGCCAGTTATTTTCTCCAGTGTTTTTTCTCCCTTTGAGAGGAGTTGCCTTTGCATTTCCATCTCTCACGTTGTGTTTTTCATCATTTGCTCTTCTTGGGATTGACTTGTTGCCGGTAAATGTCGTTGACAACAGAACCTTTTGAAGATGCTCTCAAGAACCAGTCCTTGGGGCCCATGTTGAGCAAAGCAGCATCTGTGGAGTGCATCAGCCCTGTGTCACCCAGAGCGCCGGATGCCAAGATGCTGGAGGAACTGAACACCGAGCCTTGGTACCAAGGAGAGATGAGCAGGAAGGAGGCAGAGGGGCTGCTGGAGAAAGATGGAGACTTCCTGGTCAGGAAGAGCACCACCAACCCGGGCTCCTTTGTCCTCACGGGCATGCACAACGGCCAGGCCAAGCACCTGCTGCTTGTGGACCCCGAAGGCACGGTGAGCACACGCAGCGGGTGGGCATGCAGTCGGAACCTGCCAATGAGCACACACCTACCTTAAACAGTCTCCACTTTGGTCACTGCACTGGTGACCACCGCACTGCACTCCCTCCTCTATTCACAAGTGCCCGCCAAGTCCTCCAGTGGAGCCCAGGGACAGAGGACTCATGCTTTCAGGCCAGAGCTGGTGCCAGGAGCCAAAAGTCAGAGCCCCATGTGAGCTATAAAACCTGGAAACCTACCATGGCCCAGGCTGAAAGCCTTGACTTTCATGTCCTTTAAAGTAAATAAATACAGAAACTGGGAACATTTTTCTTCCGAACACACTCACACTGGACGAGAAATACAGGCTCCTGGGCTTTTATGTTTATCTCAAATATCTCTGAAAGTTGAATCACTGGGGATTTTATTTGAAGGCTGTAAAATGTGATGAAGCAGTAAATAAACCCCTGTTAAGAACCCGCATTCTCATTTCCCATTTAGAGAAACGATGCCTGGTGACGCTGAGGCTGGCTATACAATTGCAGCCAAATAATCCTAAGGGTTTGGCTCAATTTTTCATCTTCCAGTCAAGAAGTATATTTGACTTCAGCCAGTATATAGTTCAAGAATTGCCGAATTTAATAAATGCAATTAAAGCAACTTAACCACTGAGTGAATCCCAGGATTGTTGTTTAAAACGTTTTATCTAGCGAAAATGAAAAAGTGGAGTAGAATTATTAAATAGTAGTTAAGAACATTGCCTTCTCTGATTGACAGTTCTGGATGAAGCCTTTGTCCTCAGCTGGACTGGAACACAATTTAACTGTGTGTGTGTGTGTTACCTGAGATAGTCCATTACCTCAGGCGCCTAGATTGAGCTTCCTGAACACCTCGGCTCCTGGCTCTCCAGACATCGTGTCTGTATAGCTCCTCTTCCCTCTTCGCCAAGGCAACCACTGCCATGAATGTAATGGGTGTCCCTTCAACCCACCTGCTTTGTTTTTTTTTCAATTTATGTATGTACATCAGAGAAAATATATATTTTGTGTTTGCAACTTTTAGAAATTTGCAAACATAATATTGTTCCACAAATCCCATTTCATTCATTTCTTACTTTTTTCCCCAGTACATGTTTTTGGGATCTGTCAGTGGTTCTTCCTGTATTTCAGATGGTTACCACATGGGCTACCTGTGGTTCTGTCACATACATGGTCTGCACGTCACTACTGAGCTGTCTTTAGAAGGACACCTAAGCTGCTACAAACCTTCGTGCATGTTTTTCTCTGTACCTGGGGAAGGTCTCTCTGGGGCAAGAGACAAGAGTGGAGTTTTTGGTCATAGGATGTACATACATTTATTTCACTAGGGTTTGCATTCGTTTCTGGATGGCTCTGAGGAGCACACCAGCAGATACCCTCATTCTTCCTTGATAGTGTCTCTCTAGCTTTGCTAATCTCTAAGAATAAGAAGAAAAGGGATTTCTTGTTGCTTTATTTGCAATTCTTTGATTGCACCTCATTAGCAAATTAACAGGTTTCTTCTGTAAATTTTATGTTCTCCTCTTTTCTCCATGTTTTTCTTTTGACTTTCTTATTGGGCTTTATTGTTGAGCTTTTCAGCAATAGAATGTCCATTCGTATTCTCTTGCTTTTCCATCTGATAATTTTGTGGTGTTCTTCATCAAACAGAAGTCTTTCTTTGACTTCTGGGTGACTGAATTAATCAGTTTTCCCCTTGTGGTTTATGGTTTTGAATGTTCAAATTTTCCTCACTCACAAACCACAAACAGACTGTATTCTATATTTTCTTCTATTTGCTTTATAGTTTTACTTTTCACATTTAGGTTTTAATTCCAACTGAAAGTACTTTTGAATATGGTGTGAGATAGGGACCCAACATTTAAAAAATCTTTATGTAGTGAGCCAATTTCATGTCATTGGTCTTTCTTCTGCTGTACTGATGTTCCTCCTATAACATACTAAGTTTTCTATGTCGTGGGCCTGTTTCTGAACTCTCAGTTCTGTTCTAGTGCTCCGCTTACTCCTTGTGTAAGTACCACACTGTTTTAATCCTTACAGCTTTGAAACTGTCTTAACACCTGGTGGTGTGAGTCTTCCCTCTCAGTTCTCCTTTTCCTAAGCCGTCTTAGCTACTCTCAGACATTTATTCTCCTTTATTCTGATTTGAGAATCAGTCTTTCAAGTCATCAAAACCACATGTTGGGATTTTGATAGGACTTGCATTGAATGTATATGGATTAATTTGAGGGAGAACAGATATTTGTCTTTATTAGATCATCATATCCATAAACATGGCATAAGTTTCCACATATTTAGTTTTTAGGATGTATTTTTGATAGAATTTTAAAATTCTTTCCAGAAAGTTCTTCTGTTTCCTTTATTAGGTTATTTCCTAGAGTGTCTAGTTTTAGTCCCTGTTATAAATGGTATGTTACTTTGAGTTTCTTGTTCTCAACAATTATTGCTGGGGGGAAAGGAGTATGATGTGCCTAAAAATTCTGCAGATTCTAGTGGTTTTATTGAAACACTCATTCTGCCATAGCAAACATTGACAGTTTTGTCTCCTGACTTCCAAGGCCAACCTTAGAGGATGCCCTCACCTCACGGGACTAATTAGGAGTGCCTTCGAGGATTGACCAGGAGAGGGCACCCTTGTCTGTTGCTAACCCGAAAAGCAATGCTTGGAGATTTTGATCCAATAAAAATGATGTTTCAGGGGGAGGAGCCAAGATGGCAGATGAGAAAAGCCGCCAGTCAGAGTGTCTCTGCAAAAAAGATGAATTTTAGAAGAAAGAGAAAAAAATAAGCTAGCAGAGAAACATAGATCGGGTGAGGGTTGGAAGGAAGGGTGACTGGAACTACAGGAGACTCCATGGCAAGAAGTTGCGGAGGAGAACTGGAAGGAGAAAGGTCCCAAGAGGCTTGGAGACCAACGACAAGGGTAGGTGGAGCGGTTAACTTCCCCTCCCGTGCATCTCGGACTGCTGGTGGCTCCTGAGCGGCTGGAGAGACCTGCCGACACCAGCCCAGAGACGGCAGCCACCAGTGAGCAGTGGCCTCTTGCGGACTCAGCGCCGGGCTCCCAGCTCCCTCGGGGCACCTCCCTGGGCGCAGACCCGAGCCTAGCGGCAGACGCCATAGTGCTTCATTCTCTCCTGCCCCCTCCCTACCCGGGTGTGCCCAGAGAGACAATTTAGCCATCACACGGAGGCATCTCCAAGGAACGGCGCCTTTCCTTTTGGGGCCCTACAGCAGACTGAGGGGTACTCAGACTGCGAGTTCCCTACCTGCCAGCCCTCCCAAGTGCTACTTGCCTGGGGACTCCAGGAGAGTGGGGCAAATCCCGAGGTGGAGTGAAATTGATCCAGCTTGGGCACCCTGTAGGTGATTCAAGACCAGCACCCCTCCCCCTGGTAGGGTCAGGGATTGATCTCCAGGGTCCAGGGGACAGGCCTGCAGACCAGACCCCGTACACCCAGGTCACAATCGCACTACCCCATGGCACAGAAGAGACATCTGTGAAAGAACCTACTGAGGAGTGTGTGCCTTCAGGGGCAGATCAGTGAGCCAGAGGAGCAACCCTCCTCCCAAAACAGGGCTGTGCAGCTCAGGCTGTGATCCTGGGTAGGGAACCTCCTGGCCCACGTCACAGCCAGGGGAGATCCATTGGCCTGAGGTCCTGCTTGCTGGCAGAGGCCTGGGAGAGGCCATGGAGAGGGGGAGAGTGGAGGGGAGCGAGACCTGCTCCAGAGTGCGGGTCCTGGACAGCCCACCCCCCAAGCCTGGACTTTCAGCTGAGTGGAGCCATTTCAGCCCCTCCCAGCAGCTTTGCACAGAAACAAAGAGCAGACCTTTGACCCCTGCTAACAGCAGTTGTGGAGCCTGAGGGCAGGCTTACCCAACCCAGCCCCACCCAGACTCACTCCCGGTCCTGCCCCCACTGAAGTGGAGAATAAGGACACACCTGGAAGTCCCAGGGCCCCACCCACTACCCGAGGCACAAGAGGGCCTCTCTAGAGGAATAAGAGCTAGCTACAGGACCCAAAAACAGCACTGCAGCTCGCTCCTCCCAGCAAGTGCCACCTACTGACAGGGAGGTCATCCTGCACACCCTTTTACTGCATCTACTGATTCATCATAAAGGGTGTGGTCGAATCTCACCCACAAACACCATCTACTGGCTCAGAGACTAAATAGAGCGTGTCATTATCCAAACGAAACTCTGAAGGCAAGAAGGAACAACTGATCCAGATGGGAAGGAACCAGCGAAAGAACTCTGGAAGTATGAAGACTCAAACAGAAAGCACACCCCCACAGAGGAACAACAGCTCCCCAGCAATGGACATTAACCAAACTCAGAACACAAAAATGACAGAAGAAGAATTTCAAACATGGATTGTAAGAAAACTGAATGATATGCAAGAAAAAATGGATGACCAACACAAAGAAACCACAAAAAAAATCCAGGACTTGGAAGAAAAATTCACTAAAGAAATTGAAATATTAAAGAAAATCAAACCTGTCACCTGGAAATAAAGGACTTATACAGGAAACTACAAAACACTGTGGAAAGCCTCAAGAACAGGGTAGATCAAACAGAAGAAAGAATCTCAGAGATTGAAGACAACTCCTTCCAATTAAATAAGTCAGTCACAGAAATCGAGCAGAAAATTAAGAGAAAAGAAATAAGCCTACAAGAAATGTGGGATTATGTGAAAAAACTGAACCTGAGGGTGATAGGGGTTCCAAAAGGTGAAGAAGAAAACACGCAAGGGCTGAATAAGCTATTTGAAGAATTAATAGAGGAGAATTTTCCAGGCCTTGCTAAAAATCTAGTTATACAGGTACAAGAAGTTCAACGGACTCCAGGGAGATTCAATGCAAATAGGAAGACACCACGTCATGCAGTCATCAGATTGACTAAAATAGCCACTAAAGAGGCCCTTCTACTAGCTGTAAGGTGAAAGAAACAAGTAACATTACAAAGGAAAGCCCA